TGGAAAGTCTTTTATTTTCTTCATAGGGTCTCCCCTATGGGGTGGCCATGCCCATTGTTATCTTTGAGGGGGTGGGGTACCCGCCAATCCCTAGCCCATTGCTGTCATGACTTGCTGTCAACCTGAGTCATCCTCCCAAACTATAACTTAACCTTCAAAAGACAAAAAAGAAAAAAAACTGGGTCCCAATGCTGGGGAACTCCCTTGTCTTGGGACTCAGCCCTTGACTCAATTAATTTTGCATGGTCTTTTTTTTTTCCCTTTCCTACCCCCCTAATCCCTTACCCGTTGTTGTCGTGGGGGGGCTTAGGAGGCGGAGACTGGGACCCAATGATGGGGAACTCCCCAACCTTGGGACTCAGCCCTCGACTCAACTAATTATGCATGGTCTTTTTTTTCCCATCCCACTTTTGTTTCTGTCCCTTCACCAAACCCTTCTGCTATCCACCTCCTAAGGTGTGAGAGCCGTGCTGAAAGGATGAAAGGCTGACTTTGTGCCAGTTCTGAACGGCCTGAGGGAGCCATGGGCACGGTATTCCCCTGATTTTAGTTATCTAGCCCTTACCCCTGAAGGGGACCCTGAGGGGTGGACTGTTTTTATCCCCAACATAATCCAGGCTTACCATGGCCAGTAATGAAAATATATCCCCACTGTTAGGGGCAATGAGGCTTGCCCCTTTATCAAATAGCCCCAACGAAGTAAACCCACCCGATTCCCTGACCCCAGGCTCTCCTTTGACCACGGCTCTGAACACTGCAATAACTACCCCTTCATCAATGCCTACTAGTACAGTAGCCAACAATCAACCCATTTCCACTCTCCCAGTATGCTCAACTTCAACACCTCTACCCCCACAACCTCCAACATCAACCACCCCATCCTCCCTTATTAATACCTTACAGCCTTATTGCCCACCTCTCCATAACACTACTTCCCCCAACACTACTCCATCTTCGTCATGCCCTCGCCCTTCTACCACCCCTATCTCTGCAACAATCTTGAATACTCTTTTTAGTGCAGCCAAATGGGACCGATTTTTCGTGATCCCTCCCACAGCTCCCTACTCTGACAACACCCTTCTCTTCCAACAATGTCTCCAAAAACAAGTAGGTAAAGTCTCTTTCCGTAGCCGACCCGACCGCTCCCGTCTTGTCACAGTAACATCCGAAAACCAAGCTATAGCATTAACAAAACTGACCTATATGGTAACCCCATCCTTGCAGAACCCCATCCAACCCTCAATACTTGCACCGGAACAGTCTCAATCTCCCCAGCAAATTGCCCAATCTATGACAAAGATTGGTCAGATTGTGGAGAAGACCTACTTGCCTGTCTCACAGACTATGATGCAACATCAGTACAATGCTACTCCATTCCCCCCGGAGGTCATCGAAAGAAACCCACTAACATAGCCAAAATTACCTTCCGTAGACATGACCTTCCCTTTAACGTCTACATAGGAGGAGAATCCCTCCCTGTTCGTCCATACCAACCTCCTCCACGTCAGTGCCAAAATTGTTGGCGTCTAGGACACCCAGTCAAACATTGCCGTTCCACAACCAGATGCCCACTATGTGCCCAACCTGGCCATACCCGATCTAACTGCTCTGCACAATCACGCACATGTGCCAACTGTGGCGGCCCCCATAATGTATTTTATAGGGGCTGTCCCACCTACAAATTTGAGTCTGAGGTAGCAATTCTCAGATTCAAACTTGGACTCACACTACGTGAAGCCAGACAGGAAGCACGTCGACGTGGATTCTCTCTTACTCCTTACTCCAGTAATACCGCTCATTCTAACACTTCTCCTAAACCCTCCCCTCCTACATCTAACTCCCCCACTTCTACCTCCTACCTTCCCCAGTCAAACTCTTTTGCCATCCTAAATCCAGACACCCCAATCTCTACTACAGATACTCCAATCACCACTACAACCCCAACACCTTCCCCTCTCCCTCCTCGCACTACCCGAAACAGACAGAACAAACGTTCCACCCCCTCTTCCCCTACCACACAATCACCTGCACCTTCCTTTGCCCCTACTCTTGAGACTAGTCCTCTCTTCCCCCCCTCACAAGAAATCCTTTATCCCCCAAAACTCCCCAACCAACTCCACAGAAGAAACTTTTGAAAATATTCAAGATTACTTAATGAAAACTGACACTCAACCTACAACTCCTGCTCCTTCCACACTCCAAGTAATTGCTGATATCCATCCTCCTCCTAACGATATCCCCCCTACACCCTATCCTCCTACCCCCTCCCAACACAGCCCATCCCCCCTGACCCCAACCCCGCCCCCATTAACCCTCCCACCATCCCCTCTATCCCTTCCACTCCCTCCTGGATACACACGTGAATCCCTTATGTCACAAGTATCCCTTCCCTCAGACCCTCCATCTCCTAATACCCCTCCTGATAGAACACCAACTCCCACACCTCTCCCATCTCAAACCTCTCAGTCCTTATCCCAACCTCTAGCTGCTTCCCCTTCAAATTCTCCAACACGTACTACAATCTATATCACTAAATCAACGAAAGTATAACTATCCTTCATTGGAATATTCGCGGTTTCCGCTCCCACAGACCTGACCTTCGTCATATCCTTTCCTCTTATAACCCATCTATTGTATGCCTTCAAGAAACCTTTCTTACACATCCTCCAATACCAATCCCCAATTATCATTTTCTCTTCCCCACATTCCCTTTATGTCTCGCCCATACTTATCAATCAGAAAACACCTTATGTCACACCTCCCTTTCAAACCAATGTCCCTTGCACAGTTATTCGCATCTTCCTTCATCGTTGGATCACAGTGATTTCAGTCTACTTCTCCCCTTCCCACCCCATTGACTTTGTTGCTTTTGAAAACCTAATTTCCCAACTTCAACCACCTTTCCTCATAGTTGGTGACTTTAACTGCCGCCACACTCTTTGGGGTGATTCTATTACTAACTCCCGAGGCAGATCTCTAGAGCGCTTCCTCTCCACAGCTGACCTTACTATCCTAAATTCAGACCGCCCCACACACTTTGATACACGCACGCAATCTTTTTCATTTATTGACCTCTCTCTATGCTCCCCTTCTCTTCATTTAGATTTCCACTGGTCAGTCTTAGACCACTTTCCCTATAGTGACCACTTTCCAGTTCTCCTTTCTCCTACTTCATACGTACCACTTCCTAACTCCCCACGCTGGTGCTTTGATAGAGCTGACTGGCATACTTTCACTTCACTCTCTGCTATTCATACCTCTCCATCCTCCCTCACCTCCATTTCAGAAATGATACACTGTTTCACAACTACAGTCTTAAGAGCTGCACATACAGCTATCCCTCGAACCTCAAGACCATATACCTCTAAATGTGTTCCATGGTGAAATTCTAATTGCACTAAAGCACTTCGCTTAAAACGTGCAGCCTGGAACAGTTACCGCTACAAGAGAGGTACTCCAAATCAACTATCAGCCCTTATCTCCTTTAAAAGAGTATCTGCCTGTCTTCGTCGTACGATTCAGAATAGTAAAACAAATAGCTGACGAAATTATGTTTCATCAATTACATCCTCTACATCTACAATGTTTGGCGGCGAATCCATAAACAATCAGGCAAACATCCCCCCCATCCTGCCCCCGTCCTCCATATTCGAGATACCCTCATTTCTGATCCTCTCCAAGTCGCTAATGAACTGGGTGACTATTTCAGCCAGGTCAGTAGTGGTTCTCACCTTTCTCCACACTTCTCTTCTATCAAGACCACCAGAGAACGTACCCCCATTACCTTCACCCCATCCTCCGCTGAGTCCTATAATGCTCCATTTTCTTCCTCTGAACTCATTGCTGCCCTACAATCGTGCCGCAACACTCATGAAGGCCCTGGCGGTATTCACTACCGTATGCTCCGGCAAATCCCATCTTCCTCCTTATCCGTCCTATTAAAAAATTTCAACCACATATGGACATCAGGAAATTTTCCTTCTAATTGGCGAGAAGCTCTTATCCTTCCCTTCCTGAAACCCAATAAATCGGGTACCCTCCCTCAAGACTATCGCCCCATCGCACTAACTAGCTGCTTGTGCAAACTATTAGAGCGAATGGTGAACTTCCGCTTAATGTGGTATCTTGAATCTCACAATCTTCTCTCTCCTTCCCAATTCGGTTTTCGCCGTGCCAGAAGCACAGCTGACCCCCTTGCTCATTTTGAGACATATATTACATCCGCATTTGCACGCCATGAATCCGTACTAGCTATATTTTTTGACCTAGAAAAAGCATGTGATACGACATGGCGGTACCATATTCTCCAACAATTGACGTCTCTAGGCATACGTGGAAACATGGGTGTCTTCATAAAGTCTTTCCTCTCCCAACGCACTTTTCAGGTCAAAATTGCTACTGTTACATCATCTTTCTTTCCTCAAATCGAAGGTGTCCCACAAGGCAGTGTGCTCAGTACCACTTTATTCCTTCTTGCTGTTAATGATATTATCTCCGTTTTACCACCAGGAGCCAGGTCATCACTATATGTTGATGATTTAACTATCTATGCCTCTGGCACATCCATACCAAATCTCTACCAATTTCTTCAATCTGCAATCTCATCAGTATCTTCTTGGGCCACAAACCATGGCTTCCGCTTTTCTACCTCTAAATCTTTCTCCATCCTTTTCTCTTGCTCACGTGTAAGTCTACTACCCCCACTCTTCTTGTATGGCACTCCACTCCAATGCCGTTCCTCTGGCAAATTCCTAGGCGTCATTTTTGACTCCAAACTGACCTGGCGAGACCATATTCTACACATTAAAGAAAAAGCTCTCCGCCGCCTTCGAATTTTAAAAACTCTATCCCATATATCATGGGGCTCAGATCGCAAAACTCTTCATCTTCATGTTACGTTGATCCTCTCCACTCTTGATTATGGATGCCATATCTACTCCTCTGCCTCAACTTCTCTCCTTGCCCATCTTGACACAATCCACCACTGTGGTCTTCGCTTA